TGGATAGGCCATTGGCCTGATCCAACATGGCTTCTCTTATGTTCTTATGTGTACAGCAATTTCCAGCTGCAATCATTAGTTCAATAGCTGGACCACTGGTTGTTAAGAATGTACAGATTTTAGCCTTAGGATGGGGCAACATGAACCTGATGATCTGAAGAGTCACTCCTAATCCACATTCATGCCAGATATTAACGTCCTTATGCATTATCGTCAAAAATGCCATGCAAACAGGAACAAACAAGGCCTCACTTGCCAGAGGTGTCTGCCCTGTTCAAATACTCTGTTTTCAGTTTTGCTTGTTTCAAAGTCTTATTGTGCATTCTGCAGGAGAGGATATCTATGAATAATGCAATTTCTTGTGCATGATTGATAATGGGTTTATTGCTCAGGCACTCCTAACATGCTATTTGATATCCTATCAGCCTTATTTTCCAAAGGAAAACAACTGCTGTCGAAACCTGACATGTTTATCATTGCAAAGCCAAGCCAAGCCAGTTATCAAAATAGAATAGCTCTTGCTATTACAATCACTTGTCGAGCCTCAGGTAGTTCATATAAAGTGCATACTATAATACCCGTGAATTTTCAAAAAATGCATTTTGCAGGTCTGCCAAAAACTGCCACAGGTCCCCAGTCAAAGATATCTCCTGGGCCCCATCCCAGCACACAGACCCAAGCCAAATCTGATTTGAAATGAAATCCTATGACTCACCCTGATGCTCACACCCCAGTGTGAGCAAGGCCCCCAGGATTTTGTTCTTCACATCCTCCTCTCTTCTGGGAGCCCTGGCATTTGACTACTACCTCTGTCTGAAGTGCTTTACTGGCTACACTTAAAGCGCTCTTGCCTAGAAGGATATAGGACTGTTCTTCTCCTTTACCGATTAAGATATGGCTACTCTGCCCTCGCTTTGACCTTGATGGCCCAGGCTAGTCCAATCTCAACAGATCTCAGAAGCTAAGCAAGGTCGGCCCTGGTTAGTACTTGGATGGGAGACCTCCAATGAAATTCAGGGTTGCTACGTGGAGGCAGGTGATGGCAAGCCACTCGATTTGTCACTTTTCTTGGAAACCCTAGGGGGTTGCCATGAGTTGGCTGCAACTTGATGGCACTTTCCACCACTACTCTACCCTTGAGGGTCCTCAAAAGATCTTTACCAATGATGCAGAAAAGCACAGATAGCCAATACAGCGGAACGTTGAACTATACATAAATCCTGACTCTGGATCACTGCTGCAGTGTGTTAGAAGTGTTCTTCCTATGTCTGGCAGGAGACCTACTATAACAGCATGAACTTCAAACAGCCTTCAAGGATAGGCTTATATGGATATACAATTCAGTTTTAAAACCTTTGGAAACTAGCCAAAAAATGCTATGTTTGAAATACTGAAAATACTTCATAATCTGAATTTCATAATTCTGGATATTCAGAATAATACTGAATATTCCAAATCCTGTTAACATCTTTCCTGCTTGGAAAATGAAATTAAAACATAACCCCCCAGACAGTATGGCAGTGTGGGTGGGGGGAAGGGAGTTGAGCATGGTTCTGCACGCTCCACTGTGCCAAGCCCAATGATAACTGAAGTAGCCACTTGTCCTTCCATCACTAGCTGCCCATTATGCCAGTCTGCTGAATGATGCTGCCCAGGTTACTTGCTTCCCCCCACTCTAGCTATCCTCTGCTTCACTGTTGGCCTTGGTCAGGGTTCACTTGAACTGCTCAGGGTTCTGAATGCCCAGACTGCAGTCACAGCCCAATGACCTGGCCCAGCTGTCTGGCAATTGTAGCTATTGCTTTGTCTGCTCTGGTCTTTGGAGTTAGAAAAAGAACTGGGGAAAAGTCAAATGTTAAAGGACATTTTTTTTAAGTGGGTTGTCCTGTTTTTAGTGGGAAATTGATGTTTCATATTAATTTGAATGGAATTTCAAATATCCAGAAATTTTGAATTTTTAAAAATTCTGAATCAGATCACAATTTGTTGTGTGAATTGCAAATCTGAATGTTGGTGCTCTCTCTCTCTCTCTCTCTCTCTCTCTCTCTCTCTCTCTCTCTCTCTCTCTCTCTCACACACACACACACACACACACACACACACAGAGAGAGAGAGAGAGAGAGAGAGAGAGAGAGAGAGAGAGAGAGAGAGAGAGAGAGAGAGAGAGAGAGAGAGAGCGCATGCCAGTAGTACTGAATGTATTACAGTGATAAACAACATGCCCAATGATTCTGCTTTATCCCAGCAGAGCTGGTAAAACACATTTCCACCCATCATTGTAACCTTGAGTTCCAGGGTGAATATCTGGTATGTTCCAGAGCTAAGAACTTGAAAAACTAGAAGAAGGGCTGAGTCCGGCCATCATTTCCACTGCTGAAAAAGGGAGGCAGGTACCCCTTCACCACCAAATCACAAATCCTACATGGACAGAAGTTATGTGGGATGGAGGCTGTAGTAATAACAAGTAGAATTAGGTGAGACTGGTTGGAAAAAAATTGGCTGGATCCACCAGAGGGACATTGGATTATCATCTCACTACAGATGCTAATTTTCTGCCCCCAAGTTTTTCCCTTCTGCTTTAATCAGGCTGATTACAATATGTATTGTACTTTTGTATCCTTTACAAGCATTCTTTGCAGTGCCCCTCCCATCTTCTGACTGGAATACAAAGACTCAGATCTCCAGTCCTACCTGTGTCTGACAAAGTGAGCTTTGACTCTCGAAAACTCATACCCTGAAACTCCTGCAGGTCTCTAAGGTGATACTGGACTTGAATCTAGCTGTTCTACTGCAGACCAAAATGGCTACCCTCTGAAACAATCCCTAACTTAAGTTGCTCTTCCTTCAATGAAAGTCTCCTTAGACTTCAGGCTTTGCTCAGTGAAATGGTAGGAGACAGGCAAGTATTTCTTCACCTAAAATAGGGATTGAACTAGGGTTGCCAGGTCCAAATGACAAGCCAGCGGGGGACTTACCAAAACATTCTGGGAGAGGGGAGGGAAGAAGCACATCATACACCTCCAGGTGATGCAGGCACATCAGGGACATTGAGGACAATTTGCCTACATCACCTGAAAGTGATGTAGGAACATCGGGGGTGATGCTCTAGTCTTTGGGCAAAACTTTGTGGTTTGAAGCTAATTCTACCATAGAGTTTTGCCCCAAAACCAGAGCATTGCCTCCTAATGTCACTGATGTGCCTACATCACTTTCAGGTGACTTAGGCGCATCCCCCACTGGCCAGTAGGCCAGTGCCGGGGTGGAGCACCAGAAACCAGGGGAGGGTCCCCCATGTGCCAGGGGGACCTGGCAACCCTAGATTGAACAGAGAACTGCTTACATAGCTGTAAACACAGGCACCCTTAATATACACATACATAAAAATGCACACCCTTAGTGCACACACATGTCGATCTAGCACCCTATCTGTTCTCCAATGTATATAACAGTATTTTAATGTGAAAGCAACTCCATTTCTTTCAATACATGGAGAAGTGTTATATGTACATTCCTTTGCATATGTGGAACGTATTGGTTTATTTGAGATTTTATAACCACATAAATTCTCAAAGTGGAAAACAATATTAAAAATTTAAAAGACATTTTAAACCTTCAAGCAAATAATAAAAAATTGAATCAGCGGTATTATTTTAGCAATAAGGAAAGCCAAACAAAACCTACTAGACTTCACTGTAAAAGTGAAAAGCTTGCCCACAATGAACAGCCCTTGATCAAGTTCTTTGATCCCTTGGAATCTCAAGTGACAGGGAGTGCTCAGTTTATTATTGAATATAATTGTGCCAATCTTGTTACCAAATTTCATGACAACTCATATCTAAAAATTCACGTTTCTTTTAAGGTTTCTTGTCAATGATAATGTTCAAGCAATGTTAATGACATTTGATAGAAATATTGCCTGTTTCTATATAAATGGTTTATAAATTGCATTAAATGGTATACAAATGACATAAAGGAAACAAACAAAAATTGGAGATTTTCCAAAGAAAGTCCTTTTGACTGTGTACAGAAATGGAAAGAAATCACAAAACATGTATCTGCCCATAGATAAATTCACCCTCAGAAAAAGAACAGCACCTGCAGCAAAGACTCAATAGAGAACCAGAAAGATGTTATATGCTCCTGGCACTAACACCCATCAATCAATCTTGCCACCACATTCTGATCTCTGTCCCTTCAGTGAACCCTATGAGGAAGCCTTTGAAAGTGTGAGAATTCCACGTCCCAATTTAAGCTATTCATTTCTCCTCTGGATACTGGACTCATTCCATTCTCTTTGTGAAATGGACTGAATTATGCATTGATTCCTTGAGTATTTTCCTGAACGATATCCTAATTTTGTGACTTTGAGGTGAAGGACATTTCACTGAATGAACTGCTTATTTTATTCTACACCTCCCTGTTCATAAAATCCATTCTTTTTCACAACTTCTTGCCACTCCTTCCTGCACCGTGGCTGGCAGTGGCTTTCATAACAAGATAATGTTGTGTTTGCACAGCAAACCTGTTCTCCACACTTTGGGAATTCAAACAACATGTGTCAACACTTCCAGGAAGATCTCACACAACACTGAATTCTGTTTGTCACATGATGCCAACATATCATTTCAACCACTGTCAACTCATCATTAAAGGCCATGTAGTTCAAGAAACTGAAGAAAATAAATGAATATTGCAAAAGAGGGCTCTAACACAAGTCCCCAAAGTGGGCAGAAATGAAAAAGACACAGAATATTATCTCCTATTCAGTGGGGAGGTCAGAGAAATTTGGTACTTGGTCAGGACCTACCCTTGTCATTTTCAGCCCTGACCTCAAAGATGAAGCTGCCATAAAGCATTCTTCATTGACCACAACTTCGATTTCTGTTAATTTGGAACTCCACATCATGAACTCTATCATGCAGCAGTTTGGTCTGGTTCACCATTCAGGAATCACAGAGATAAAACTATAAAGTTCTAGGGATCAAAATCCAGGCCCTTACCTGGGAAAGGTGATGTCAACACTGGTATTTTGATTGGCGACAAGGTGAGCACGTGGCATGGCTGAACACTGGCTGTTGATGGTCCCTGAGGGGCTTCTGCATCTACTGACACCATGGCTGCGGCAAACGCAATTCTCTGGTTACTGCCAGCATGTTTACCTGTGGAAAAATCAAGTATGGTTTGTATTATTTTTAGGAAACACTAGAAAATGCTGCCATTCACATAAATTGGTTACTCAATGACCTGATGCTGCAGTAGTGCTGCAGTAAAGCAACAGATGGTGTCAAAACGCTCCCATATCATTGGCATGAATAAGACACATCAGTGTTTAGGCCTCTCAGGATAGAAATATGGCCACTACTGTGTACTACTATATCTCCTCTACAGTGTATGAAGAAGGTTGTTTGAGAATGTGTGTGGAACAGTGGATTAACTGGGTTTATATAAAGAACACTAAGTTTCAAGATCTTTCTCAGCCATAAAGCTCACTGGAGATGATGTCAGAAGAAAGGCGGTTCTTCACAGCCATATAATGAGAATTACACTTATGCGGTTTCTGAAGCAACTGTGAAAGGCAGAATGAAAGTTAAGAATGAAATGCAATCTCACAACACGGTTATGACATATCATAAGTCTCATTCAAATGGATTCAAGTCCAGTGGCACCTTAGAAACTAAGAACATGGGGGGGGGTATAAGTGCCCTTTGTCAGAAACAAGTTGTAATGGAGATTTCTGAGTCTTTATATCCCAGTCAGAAGGTGGGAGGGGTGTTACAAAGAAGGAACTCAGGATGCAAAGGTACAATACCTATTGTAGAACAAAGTTTGAGTCCAATGGCACTTTTAAGACCCACAAAATTTAATTCAAGGTATAAGCTTTCAGAAGAAGTGTGCACACAAAAAGCTTATACCTTGAATTAAACATTGTTGGTCTTAAAGGTGCCACTGGACTCCAACTTTGGTCTTACACATGAAAGCTTATACCTTGAATTAAACTTTGCTGGTGTAGTGGTTTGGTATAGTGATTTGGTGTAGCCAGTTTGGTGTAGTGGTTATGAGCCTGGATTCTAATCTGGGAGAACTGGGTTTGATTCCCTACTCCTCCACATGCAGCTGCAGGTGTGACCTTGGATCATTCATAAGTTCTTTCAGAGCTGTTCCCTCAAGGGCAGTTCTTGAAAAAAGCTCTCTCAGACCCACCTACCTAACAGGGTGTCTGTTGTGGGGAGGGGAAGGACAAAGGAAATGGATTGTAAACCTTCGGGTCTTCCTCCACCACTGGATTTCAACTATGTTCTGCTGCTTCAGTCCAACATGGCGACCTGCCTGAATGCATATTGTAATCAGCTAGATTAGAGCAGAGGGGAAATGCTTGGGGGCAGAAGCATCTGCAGTGATATAAGAATCCTACGTCCCTCTGAAACTATCTTCATTCAAGTGACATCACTCTTGGCGCTTCAGCTTTTAATCTCTCTGTAATCAGTACCTATCTACCTCAGACAACTGCTTTGAGAACGAAATGAAATGAGGATATATTGCATTCCTTGAGCCTCTGAGAAAGAAATTTCTAATAATAATCAGTCACTGTATAGCTGGGAAGATAACCCAATTGGTGTGACTTTCAAGAATGTAGCTAGTAGTTCAAAACAGTCAGCAATGGTGTGTCAAAACTAAGTAGTTAAGCAAGGAATTTATCTTGCAATTAAATATGTGTACCTTATTTTGTGTGTTTGCTGCAGTGGTTCAGAGGTTAAGATGCTGAGCTGCAGACCGGAGGGTCTGTAGTTCGGCAGTTCAAGACCCTAGTGCCATGTGATGGAGTGAGTTCCCGTCTCTGGCCCCAGCTCCTGCCAACCTAGCAGTTCAAAAGCAAGATATTGCAAGTAGATAAATAGGTACCACTTTGGTGGGAAGATAACAGAATTTCATGTGCCTTGGCATTTAGTCATGCTAACCACATGACCACGGAAATGTCTTCGGACAGGCCTGGCTCTTTGACTTGGCAACGGAGATGAGCACCGGCGCCTAGAGTTGTATTTGACTAGCTTTCAAGCAAGGGAAACCTTTACCTTAGAACATTAATACCTAGATGTCCAATGGTTTTGAAGCAGCTTATAAACAACTAAAGTAATCATAAGGACGTTGTATCAATATCAGGAGTTTAAAAGGAACATAGAAATCTGATGACAAATTTAATTATTGCAGTGAGAATGATGTTAACACAGGTACTGAATAAGCAAATAACTCCAGAAAAAGAAGGTTGGTTACTAAGAGTTTGGTATGTCATGATAATGAAGAAGCATAAAACTTATAAATATGTGTGGAAAAGAAAAAGCTGGACATGGAATGAAGTTTTTTTTAAAAAAAATTAAATGTATGCAATACACTGGATAGATTTAAGAAGTACTGGAATGCATCTAATTTAAGGATTACCGTGTGCGTGTGTTTTGTGCATCAAGTTACTTTCATTGCACGACAACTCTATGAATTAATGACCACCAAAACATCCTATCATTAATAGCCTTTCTCAGGTTTTGTAAACTAAACACAATGGCTTCCTTTATTGACTCAGTACACCTCACACTGGGTATTCTTCTTTCCCCTCCTGCCTTCATCTTTTCCAAGCATTATTGTCTTTTCCAGTGAGTGTTGTCTTTTCATGATGTGACCAAAGTATAAGAGCTTTGGTTTAGTAGTTTTAATCTCTAGGGAGAGTTTGGGCTTGATTTGATCTACAACCCACTTACTGATTTGTTTACCCTCTTAGAAAGAAGTTAATATGACTTTGAAGTTGTACATCTTTTCTTTCTTTCTGTACAGGTATCTGATTTTTATTATTATTATATAAGCACACAAACAAACAAGGCATTGGTTACAATAAATGTAATCAACAGAATAATCCATGATACCATAGAACAACAAGGCATTGGTTACAATAAATATAATCAACAGAATAATCCATGATACCATAGAACAACAAAGCAGATGAAAACAGTTGATTTGTACCTGCAGCCCAGTTCCTAAAAATCAAATTAAATAACTTAGCCTGAGGACTACATATATGATACACTTTTTCATATCAGTCTGGGAATATAAACTGCAAATAGAATGAACAGAAATTTGCACATGTGTATGCTATTGAGTCACACTGGCCTACAAAACTCCTGTTGTGTGTATAGTCCGTGGCACATACAGATTAAAGGGCAAGACTTTCATTGCTGCATGAACAGTAATAAAGAGGGGCAGTGTCAGGGTTACTGCCTTTCAAATACTGAGGTAATATGGCTAATTGAAATGAGAGCCCTATAAAAAGAGCACAGTTTTCTTGCAATAAAGAAGAATTAATCTCTTCCTTCCTAACTTCCTACAGGAAACGGGTTTCAGGGCAGACCTTTGGCGTTCAATCATGGCTAAGTATATTAACTAAACAAGGAAAATGGATAGTAAAAATCTTAAGAAAAGCTAATTTGACAATCACCAGCTGTTACCCTCTCTGTACTGAGCTGTGCATTCAAAAATTAAGCAATCATTAGCTTATTATGTCGTTTAGCAAATGTTTGCAGTTCAGACAGAAATCCTTCAGGCACTAAGAGGCAACAAATAATCTCGGGAAAAGCTCTGTTTGAACCAAGTCATGACTTCGGGCATTTTGGGGCATTGCTACCCCCCTCCTCCTTTCAAGTATATTTTCTCAGTTTTCTTTTGCATGCTAAACAGACCCTGGGTTCTGCTCCTTGATCACTGGGAATGCAAGTACCCTCAGCTAACAGGCAAAATTCAGCTGGTCAAGATGAAGGAACAAAATGAGCAAAGGTTCCCAGTTTCATTTTTGTTTATGGGCATTCATTTTTGTGCCAGCAGCTTAAATTGTCTGCCCTTCTTCGCTGTTGGTTTTGTAGAATCATTGGTACAGCGCACACATATGATAGATTAGATAGACAAACAGACAGACAATATATGCCACTTATATGTATAATCTACATCGTACATATAACATTATTGACGCAAAAAACAAAAACATTTGACGGGAAAAAATCAGGGTGGCGAAACAGAAAATGGCACAAAAATAAAGAATCACAGCTTTGATATGAGCAAGGGACATGAAAAATCGAAGTGGGGATTTTGTGACTGAAACAGCAGGGATGACAAAATCTTCCCTTTTGAACAAGATACTACAAAGGGAATAACACTAAGCATCCCTAGATTCCTCAGACGGCTATGTCATACACCAGATCTAGTTTAAAACATGCTTCTGCCCCAGACAGAGTCTTTCTGACAAACCTGGGTTATTTGATTTATTTAATTTAGGTATTTAAGCATTTTGCCCCACTTTTATTTCCAGTGAGGATCTAAGGTGGCTTGCAAAATACAAAAACACAATGCAAATAAACAAAGAGAAAACAAACTACAGTAATCACATCCTGATTTGTTTTTTGTTTGTTTGTGGCTCTATTGGCCCAGCCCCCTCAAGGCACCCGGCAACAAGGCAATGGGGTAAGAGCCAAGGCCCAGGAGCACTTTAGTTCTAGTCCTTTAGCTCACACCTCTGGCCAAGTTAAATACTTGCAACAAGACAGGAGGTAGAGGCCCTCAGACCAGATCTCATTCAACTTGCAAAAAGATGCCATGTTCCCAACCTTCCTACCCTTCAAACTTCTGGGAGTTGTAGGCCTAGCCGCCTCCTACTGCCACTCAGGCCTCTTAGGCTGGCTAGGCCGCACTGGCACAGTCCAGATCATGACACCCCCCCACCAGACCAAATCATGGGGTCCAGCCATCAGGAACCCCATTGATGAGGGCTGCATAACTGTGATCTGGGCAGGTTCCCACTTACCTATAAAAATAACTCACAATGCAAACAATAATAAACAGTAAACAACATCAACATCAACATTAACAGGAATGCAACATCAATTTCATTTCATTGCAGGCCCTCCTGGGTCAAAGATCTTCGCAAAGTTCTCTTCATCCGTAGTGGCAAGGCTTTTGCGGGGAGCAAGTTCCGAATTGGCTCCTAGCCATGCCATTAAGTTCAGAGGTTTTTGAAGCTGAGGCCGAGATTCCTTTTGAGACATCCATGTAGCTACTTCCAAATAAATGGTGTTTCTCCAAGCCTCATCCATAGAAAAATCACTGCCAGTTCCTAGTTCAAATGTCA